TTGCTCAGGCTGGTTTCGAACTCCTGACCTCGGAGCAATCTGCCACCTCAGCCTCCCAGAGAGCTAGGATTACAGGCGTGAGCCACTGCACCCGGCCGGAGCAGTGGTTTTATTCATTGTTTCTACTATATAGCGTGAACTGGAAGAGTAGCATACTAGGTGGCCTGCCATCATAGCAATAATATTTAATAAAGGCTCACCAGTGAACTAGGCTGTCTTGTAAAGTTGATAAGCAAGTACCCTGCCCCATTTATTAGTTGGACATGTGTTTATTGAGCACCTATCAGCTAGTCTAGTAGGAGAGTAAAGCATTAAAGCAATAATTACTTTAACTTGGTTCCTAAGTAGCTTAGTGGTCAAAAGTATACTATCAACAAAAGTGATGCTTGCTTTGGCAGCACATGTACTAAGGTTGGAACAATATAGAGATCCCTGTGCATGGCCTCTGTGCAGGGATGAAATGCCTGCGATGATGGGCACCCCAATTACCCTGATTTGATTAATTCACATTGTATGCCTGTATCAAAACATCACATGGACCCAATAAAGATAACAACTATTATATATCCATGATAATTTTTTAAAATTTATTTTCTTTTTTTTTTTTTTGAGGCAGAGTCTCACTCTCTTGCCTAGACTATAGAGTGTTGTGCCGTCAGCCTAGCTCATAGCAACCTCAAACTCCTGGGTTTAAGTGATCCTCCTGCCTCAGCCTCCTGAGTAGCTGGGACTATAGGCACACAACATCATGCCTGGCTAATTTTTTCTATTTTTAGTAGAGATGAGATCTCGCTCTTTCTTCAGTCTGGTCTCAACTCTGAGCTCAAGCAATCCTCCCGCCGGGACCTCCCAGAGTGTTAGGATTACAGGTGTGAGTCACCACACCCAGCCTATCCATGATAGTTAAAAAATTAAAAAATAACAAATGTGGACTCTTATACCTGGTTAGAGAAAATATAAATAATCCATTAACTTCTATGCTTCTATTTCCTCATTGAAAAGTAAGGAGATCTATAATACTTATTGGGAGCATTTGAAACCCAAACTCTAGATTAATATCTAGATATGCTTTTTCAAATGGTATCTGTTAATTCCACAATTTTTCCCACGTCATACATGGCAATTCATGCTTTGGGCTGCTGAGCCTTGATTTCTCTTCCCATAAACAAGTCTTTTCTGGCACCAGAACCTCTCAATTCTACTTTTTAAAAGAATGTCTTAGCCACGGTGGAACTACTGTTGCTTTCTTACCCCTTTTAAATTTTTACTCCTGTTCACTCTGGCCCTGCCACAACTGGCCTGCTTGCTATTTCCTGAACTTGTCATCCATTTCCCCCACATCCCCTCCAAAAACCTTAGGACCTTAGCTTTTGCTTTTCTCTACCAGATATTCTTCCTCCAGATATGGGCATCATTCACTCTCTCACCTCTTTTAGGTGCTTGCCAACTTGTCTGTGTAAAATGTCCATGTATACTGCCCTTCTCCAACATTCTTCTTTCTGTTTATTTTACTCTATAGTGTGATTACTCTCTATTATATATCATTTTGGCCCAGTGCAGCTACACTATTGGCCAGTGTAGCTCATGCCTATAATCCTAGCACTCTGGAAGCTGAGGCAGGAGATTGCCCAAGGTCAGGGTTTGAAACCAGCCTGAGCAAGAGCTAGACCCTATCTCTACTATAAATAAAACAAATTAATTGGCCAACTAAAAAATTATAGAAAATTAGCCGGCATAGGTGGCCGCTATGCCTGGTAGTCCAAAGTACTCGAGAGCTGAGGCAGCAGGATTGCTTGAGCCCAGGAGTTTGAGGTTGCTGTGAGCTCGAGTGACTCCATGACACTCTAGCCTGGGCAACAGAGTGAGACTCTATCTCAAAATAAAAAATGATCATTTATTTTATGTCTCTTCACTCTCCCACTAAAATAAGGTTCATAACAACAGAGGGTTGTTTTTGTTTTTTGTTTTTTTATCTGTTTTGTGCCTTGCTGTCTCTAATTGTTTAGAATAGGGCCTGGCATATATTAATTGTTGGTGCTAAATAAGTATTTGATCAATGAATTTCCAATAATAGTTACCTTGTTGAATCCTCATTCTAATTCTAAGCATTATACTTAGTATTTTGTATGCATTATCTCTTTAAATTTCAATAATAATCCAATGAGATAGACATTCCTAAATTTTATAGATGAGGATGTAAAGTTTTACAGAGGCTAAATAAATTACTGAGGGTCACAGTAGGTAGAATAATCCCAGGTCTTCTGACTTCAGAGTGCAAGTTCTTGACCATTTCTAATATAATAGACTCTCCTCCCAGAAAATGTTTAAGATGAGACAACGTTTGTTTTAATTATGATTTCCATACCTGCTTGTATGAAAAAATTAAATTACTTATGAGCTTTATCTATATCACTTGTAATGTTAGTGGTATTGGACAAGATAGGCCTAAAAGGACCTTCCCTGTTATGAAATGAACATAATATATATTGGATAATTAATGGGAATTACAGAAAAAACTAGGACTCAAAAGTTTTTAGAGGGAATGAGGTGTATGATACAGTGTTAATTTGTTATGCCTTCACACTTGCCCCTGTTCAGTTGAAGAAGAGGAGGAGGAAGAAGTGATAGAAGAAGAGGAGACATCTGTGAAGAAAAAGAAGAAAAAGGATAAAAAGAAACACATTAAGGAAGAACCGCTTTCTGAGGAAGAGCCATGTACCAGCACAGCAGTTCCTGTATGTCTGTCTATTAAAACCAGTAGTTGCTTGGCATGGGCAGGATCTCCATTTTTAAATCTACTCTTTGCATCAGAAATGAGCAGACATTTTAAAAAATGGTTTTCATTGATAGAGGGCTAAAAATAAAATGGCTTTATGGCTTTGTATTTTATTATAAAAGGCCACCTCCCAAATCTAAACTATAAAAAAATTTTCTTCAAGGGAGGAAGAGAATATGATTTGTTAGAGCTCACTTTTATAGGTGTGGCTTTTATATCTTAGATTTTAATCTTTCTCCCAAATATGTTTTTAAGGAAAACTATTTTGTATTTCATAAGGAAATGTTATTACCCCTACAATTACAGCTCTTTCAAAAGCATTCTTGTTTGTTATTTTCAGAGTCCAGAGAAAAAGAAGAAAAAGAAAAAAAAGAAAGATAATGAGGACTAAAAGAAGGGAACCATGATTGTATCACCTGTACACATCATGCTTAAGATTCAGTTGAGAGGATGCCAGAGATTCTCTCTTACATAATCCAGGGAAGGTTGAATGAAACAATGTGATTATTCATCTATAACTTTTAAGAAAACCTATTTGTGTTTGCCATTGACTCTGTTAACCTTATTATGTCATCATTTCTTAGAGTCTCTGATAACAAATAAAATTTTCTTTGTATTTTAAGGCAGTTCTGTGATCTCTTTATATTAACATAGAGAATCTTTGGCACTTTCTATAGTTTATATGGCATCTGATGATTATTGTTTGATAATTATAGCTAAAAAGTGGGAGTTGTTAATGGTTCATTTGAAACAGCCTTTTGGAAGGCAGCAATTAGAATAATTCAAGAAATTCACTCTAATGTGTTTATCTTGCATTTTTGGACTATTTTTCATTTTCTCCCTTTTCAATGCTCTTTCTGCCTCTGTATTTATTTAAATAAAGATGTGTTCAAATTTTAAATTAGATGAGCAAAACTTTATGGTACCTATTCAGAAGAGGGGGAAAGTATCCTTTTTTATTTGTTTGCAATTCTAAAAGGTGCAACAAAATAATTTTTAAATCTAAACCTTGATTTGTCTTTAAATTGATCTAAAGCATCGTTTTAAAAGATCGCGCAAAATGATTTTAAAGAACAGGGAATATAGGGAGTAGCTGGGACTATAGGCACACAACATCATGCCTGGCTAATTTTTTCTATTTTTAGTAGAGATGAGATCTCGCTCTTCTTCAGTCTGGTCTCAAACTCCTGAGCTCAAGCAATCCTCCCGCCGGGACCTCCCAGAGTGTTAGGATTACAGGTGTGAGTCACCACACCCAGCCTATCCATGATAGTTAAAAAATTAAAAAATAACAAATGTGGACTCTTATACCTTGGTTATAGAAAATATAAATAAATCATTTAACTTCTATGCTTCTATTTCCTCATTGAAAAGTAAGGAGATCTATAAACTTATTGGGAGCATTTGAAACACCAAACTCTAGATTAATATCTAGTATGCTTTTCAAATGTATCTGTTATTCCACAATTTTCCCCACGTCATACATGGCAATTCCAGTTGCTTGGGCTGTCAGCCTTGATTTCTCTTCCCATAAACCAAGTCTTTTCTGGCACCAGAACCTCTCAATTCTACTTTTTAAAAGAATGTCTTAGCCACGGTGGAACTACTGTTAGCTTTCTTACCCCTTTTAAATTTTTACTCCTGTTCACTCTGCCCCTGCCACAACTGGCCTGCTTGCTATTTCCTGAACTTGTCATCCATTTCCCCCACATCCCCTCCAAAAAACCTTAGGACCTTAGCTTTTGCTTTTCTCTCTACCCAGAATATTCTTCCTCCAGATATGGGCATCATTCACTCTCTCACCTCTTTTAGGTGCTTGCCAAACTTGTCTGTGTAAAATGTCCATGTATACTGCCCTTCTCCAACATTCTTCTTTCTGCTTTATTTTTATCTATAGTGTGGATTACTCTCTATTATATATCATTTATTGGCCCAGTGCAGCTACACTATTGGCCCAGTGTAGCTCATGCCTATAATCCTAGCACTCTGGGAAGCTGAGGCAGGAGGATTGCCCAAGGTCAGGAGTTTGAAACCAGCCTGAGCAAGAGCTAGACCCTATCTCTACTATAAATAGAAACAAATTAATTGGCCAACTAAAAATATATAGAAAAAATTAGCCGGGCATAGTGGCGCATGCCTGTAGTCCCAGCTACTCGAGAGGCTGAGGCAGCAGGATTGCTTGAGCCCAGGAGTTTGAGGTTGCTGTGAGCTCGAGTGACTCCATGACACTCTAGCCTGGGCAACAGAGTGAGACTCTATCTCAAAATAAAAAATGATCATTTATTTTATGTCTCTTCACTCTCCCACTAAAATAAGGTTCATAACAACAGAGGGTTGTTTTTGTTTTTTGTTTTTTTATCTGTTTTGTGCCTTGCTGTCTCTAATTGTTTAGAATAGGGCCTGGCATATATTAATTGTTGGTGCTAAATAAGTATTTGATCAATGAATTTCCAATAATAGTTACCTTGTTGAATCCTCATTCTAATTCTAAGCATTATACTTAGTATTTTGTATGCATTATCTCTTTAAATTTCAATAATAATCCAATGAGATAGACATTCCTAAATTTTATAGATGAGGATGTAAAGTTTTACAGAGGCTAAATAAATTACTGAGGGTCACAGTAGGTAGAATAATCCCAGGTCTTCTGACTTCAGAGTGCAAGTTCTTGACCATTTCTAATATAATAGACTCTCCTCCCAGAAAATGTTTAAGATGAGACAACGTTTGTTTTAATTATGATTTCCATACCTGCTTGTATGAAAAAATTAAATTACTTATGAGCTTTATCTATATCACTTGTAATGTTAGTGGTATTGGACAAGATAGGCCTAAAAGGACCTTCCCTGTTATGAAATGAACATAATAAATATTGGATAATTAATGGGAATTACAGAAAAAACTAGGACTCAAAAGTTTTTAGAGGGAATGAGGTGTATGATACAGTGTTAATTTGTTATGCCTTCACACTTGCCCCTGTTCAGTTGAAGAAGAGGAGGAGGAAGAAGTGATAGAAGAAGAGGAGACATCTGTGAAGAAAAAGAAGAAAAAGGATAAAAAGAAACACATTAAGGAAGAACCGCTTTCTGAGGAAGAGCCATGTACCAGCACAGCAGTTCCTGTATGTCTGTCTATTAAAACCAGTAGTTGCTTGGCATGGGCAGGATCTCCATTTTTAAATCTACTCTTTGCATCAGAAATGAGCAGACATTTTAAAAAATGGTTTTCATTGATAGAGGGCTAAAAATAAAATGGCTTTATGGCTTTGTATTTTATTATAAAAGGCCACCTCCCAAATCTAAACTATAAAAAAATTTTCTTCAAGGGAGGAAGAGAATATGATTTGTTAGAGCTCACTTTTATAGGTGTGGCTTTTATATCTTAGATTTTAATCTTTCTCCCAAATATGTTTTTAAGGAAAACTATTTTGTATTTCATAAGGAAATGTTATTACCCCTACAATTACAGCTCTTTCAAAAGCATTCTTGTTTGTTATTTTCAGAGTCCAGAGAAAAAGAAGAAAAAGAAAAAAAAGAAAGATAATGAGGACTAAAAGAAGGGAACCATGATTGTATCACCTGTACACATCATGCTTAAGATTCAGTTGAGAGGATGCCAGAGATTCTCTCTTACATAATCCAGGGAAGGTTGAATGAAACAATGTGATTATTCATCTATAACTTTTAAGAAAACCTATTTGTGTTTGCCATTGACTCTGTTAACCTTATTATGTCATCATTTCTTAGAGTCTCTGATAACAAATAAAATTTTCTTTGTATTTTAAGGCAGTTCTGTGATCTCTTTATATTAACATAGAGAATCTTTGGCACTTTCTATAGTTTATATGGCATCTGATGATTATTGTTTGATAATTATAGCTAAAAAGTGGGAGTTAATGGTTCATTTGAAACAGCCTTTTGGAAGGCAGCAATTAGAATAATTCAAGAAATTCACTCTAATGTGTTTATCTTGCATTTTTGGACTATTTTTCATTTTCTCCCTTTTCAATGCTCTTTCTGCCTCTGTATTTATTTAAATAAAGATGTGTTCAAATTTTAAATTAGATGAGCAAAACTTTATGGTACCTATTCAGAAGAGGGGGAAAGTATCCTTTTTTATTTGTTTGCAATTCTAAAAGGTGCAACAAAATAATTTTTAAATCTAAACCTTGATTTGTCTTTAAATTGATCTAAAGCATCGTTTTAAAAGATCGCGCAAAATGATTTTAAAGAACAGGGAATATAGGAAAATGAAGATGAAGAGAAAATAGTATCACTAGTATCATTTAGGAGGTATAAATCAGGACATAGAATACCAAAGAGAAATCTTTGTTTCTGAAAGATAGTGTTTAATATGCAGACAGAAGGCTGTACACCACCATATTGTTAAGACATGAGTTTTATAGGACTGTATGTTTTTACCTGTATGTGTATGCCATGGACATCAGACATTATGTTAAAAACCAATTCAATAAAAGCAGTTGGTGGATGGGAGAGGCTAGAAGGACTATAGCTTTGAGTTCCACATCTGCTTTTCATGTGACCAAAGGCAAGTCAGCAGCCCCACTTTGGTTTCCTGCTTTGTAATGATCAGTTTTACCTCTCCTAATTGTGCTTTATAGAAAATCAAATGTTACAAATGTTCAGAGGTAAACTTAAATTTAAGTTTCAAATTTAGATAATTTGCTTCTGTGCAGCCTTCCCTAGACAAATTACATAATAAATAAAGCTAGTTATCATGCTTCCAGGAGAACAGAGTCATTTTTCATCACCCTGTTGTACCCCAGACACATTCTAATTTGATATAAAAGAGATTAGTTTATTAACAACTTTTGATGAAAATGGTCTTTAAAGCTATCAAGGGCTGTGTCATCAAACGCTTTGCATCCAAAATAGTAGATTTTTGTTTGTTTATTTTTTGAGACAGAGTCTTGCTTTGTTGCCCAGGCTAGAGTGAGTGCCGCATCAGCCTAGCTCACAGCAACCTCAAACTCCTGGGCTCAAGCAATCCTGCCTCAGCCTCCCGAGCAGCTGGGACTACAGGCATGCACCGCCATGCCCGGCTAATTTTTTCTATATATATTAGTTGGCCAATTAATTTCTTTCTATCTATAGTAGAGACAGGGTCTCGCTCTTGCTCAGGCTGGTTTCAAACTCCTGTCCTCAAGCAATCCGCCCGCCTCGGCCTCCCAGAGTGCTAAGATTACAGGTGTGAGCCACCGGGCCCAGCCCTTTTTTTCTTTTTTGAGACAGTCTCTGTTGCTGGGGCTAGAGTGCCATGGCGTCAGCATAGTTCACAGCAACCTCAAACTCCTGTAGTCCCTGGGCTCAAGTGATCCTCCTGCCTCAGCCTCCCAAGTAGCTGGGACTATAGGCCAGGCCACCATGCCTGGCCAACGTCTTTCTATTTTTAGCAGAAACAGGCTCTTGTTCTTGCTGAGGCTGGTCTCTAACTCTTGACCTCTAGCAATCCTCCCACATTGGCCTCTCAGAGTGCAGGATTACAGGCATGAGCCACTGTGTTCAGCCGGGCTAAATGTCTTAAACCTTAACTAGCATGCATAAGAATTATCTAGAAATCTTGATTAAAATGCAGATCTGAGTCTGATCTGGAATTGAGCCCAAAATTCTACATTTTTAGCAAGCTCTCAGGTGGTGCTAGGTGAGGGTCCACACTTAGGATAGCAAAGTACTAGGGTAAATTACTTAAACTCTCAAGAACTGTTTATCTGAACGGATTGCTCTGAAATTAAGATATGTTTGTGAAGAGGTTTCTTAAAAATGCTTCTGCATATCTTGACATCCCCACTTTCACAGTTTTAGACTTTTTGTGCTCTCCTTAGCCTATCACTAATGGTTCCTGGCATACAACAAATAAGGCCTACTGTTTAGTAATTAGTATATAACCCATGGAGAAATTACTAGGTTTTTGTGTTATTCAGATGAAAAATTTTAATTTTTAAAAAGTTTTCTGATTTCTCTCTCTATGTCTGCTTTGGGAACACCATTAACTCAATCTTAAGGCCTTATATAAGTGGTAAGGCCAAGATTTAATCCCAGGTTTCTGTTTTTTATCTGCTTATCCGGTGGCCTCCATTGCCAAAAGTTAACACTTGGTGACCATTTTTTAAATACAGCTTTGTGGATTATTTTCAGTAGGTATTTTATTGTTCTAAGCCATATTTTGTCAAACAGTAATTCTGGAGTATTTTATGATTTTGATGCTGGCCCTGGTTTTAAGGAGAAATTAGAAATACAGTTGACTCTTGAACAATCAGAGGGTTAGGGGCACTGACTATCCCACCTTCATGCAGTCAAAAAATCTGGCTTTTGACTCCCTGAAAACTTAATAGCCTACTGTTGACCAGAGGAAGCCTTACAAATGACATAGTCAATTAGCATATTTTGTATGTTGTATATATACTCACTGTATTCTCCCAATAAAGCTAGGAAAAAAATGTTACTAAGAAAATCACAGCCTCATCTTGACAAAAATTTTTTTGAGACAGTGTCTCACTCTTGTTGCCCCAGCTAGAGTGCTGTGGCGTCAGCTTAGCTCACAGCAACCTCAAAACTCCTGGGCTCAAGCAATTCTGCTTCAGCCTCCCGAGTAGTTGGGACTACAGGCATGTGCCACCATGCCTGGCTAATTTTTTCTATGTATTTTTAGTTGGCCAATTAATATCTTTTCTGTTTTTAGTAGCGATGGGGTCTCGCTCTTGCTCAGGCTGGTCTCAAACTCCTGAGCTCAAAAACAATCTACCCGCTTTGGCCTCCCAGAGTGCTAGAATTACAGGCATGAGGCACCGCACCGGTCAACAAAAGAAAAAAATGTTTTAAAGACAGGCATGGTGGGGACACTCCTGTAGTCCCAGCTCCTTAGGAGGCTGAGGTGGGAGGATTGCTTGAGCAGCTTGAGGTTACAGTGACCTATGATCACATCACGCCACTGCACTCCAGCCTGGGTGACAGTAAGTTTCTTGTCTCCTAAAAAAAATCATGACAGTAAATATATTCATTAAGTGGAAGTGGATCGTCATAAAAGTCTCCATTCTCATCGTCTTCATTTTTAGCAGGCTGAGGAGGGGGAGGAGTTGGTCTTGCCGTCTGGGGTAGCAGAGGCAGAAGCAGAAGAAAATCTGCATATAGTGTTCAAGGGTCAATTGTAATTTATTAGAATGTTGGTTCTCAGCAGGACCTCCATGCCCAAGCTGCTTACAATGCTTGTCCCTTCCCTGATTTCATCCCTGTAGCCGCCCTGTTGCCTTAGTCCCTCACTTTACAATATGCCCATTGTAAAGGGCATATATGAGGTCGAGAGGAGGTGCCAAACCAAATCACTTTCCCCCTATTCTTCATATTGCTCTACTCCCTTTCTGAACTTTGGGACGCTCAAAATATATTAGGGGATAGTTTAGGAAGATTCTTGTCAGCTGTGGATGGGGTCTTGGGTTGCACATAGACTTGGAATCCAGTCTGCTAGTAATTCATCTGATTTTGGACAGATTGCTATCCCATTCTGAACCCAAGTTCAGGAATGGATTGTACAGTTTTCTGTAAATATTTAATGCCTGCTATGATCTTAGACCACTGTTGGTACCGAGGGTACAGGAGAGAACCAGACAGACAAGGTCACTGGTGGAGCTCACAGTTTATGTACAAAAGATTAATTAAAATAAATAGGCAGTTACGAACTGTGTTAAAGGAATGAGGGAAAGATGAAGGGTGCTTTACGAAACACCCCATTAATAAGGAGTGAAGGGCCGGGCGCAGTGGCTTACACCTGTAATGCTAGCACTCCGGGAGGCCGAGGCGGGAGGATTGCTTGAGGTCAGGAGTTCGAAACCAGCCTGAGCAAGAGCGAGACCCCGTCTCTACTATAAATAGGAAGAAATTAATTGGCCAAGTAATACATATAGAAAAAATTAGCCGGGCATGGTGGCGCATGCCTGTAGTCCCAGCTACTCGGGAGGCTGAGGCAGCAGGATTGCTTGAGCCCAGGAGTTTGAGGTTGCTGTGAGCTAGGCTGATGCCATGGCACTCACTCTAGCCAGGGCAACAGAGTGAGACTCTGTCTCAAAAAAAAATAAATAAAAATAAAAATAAGGAGTGAGGGATGTGTCTCTAAAGGCTCTCCCAGGTGGCATTTAAAAATTTCTGAGAAATGAGAAGTTACTCAGGAAAGGATAGTGGAGAATGGGGGTTGGAAGAGGACTAGAGAAAAGGACCAGCACGTGTGGAGTTGGGGCGAGCAATTTGGCAGGGAGACATCTACCCACCACAAATAGGAAAATCGGAAGCCAATGGCTGAGTTTACATATGAAGGCCCTGTCATCACTGGACTCCCTCGTAGCAATTCTGAAGTACTATTATTAATCCCCTTTTATAATGGCCACACGAAGCCTAGACAGGTTAAGTAACTTGCCAAAAGTCACACCCCTATTGACTAACAGATGGGATATTTGAATCCAGTCAGGGCTGCAGAGTAGAACTTAAAAAGTTTCTCAAAACTTCAGTGATAGAAACACCTGGAAAACTGTGAAAGGTAAGTTTCTGATTTAGGTATAGGGTAGGGCCCCAAATTTGTTTTTTTGTGGGGTTTTGGGGTTTTTTTGAGAGTCTCTGTGACCTTGGCAAGAGTACAGTGGGATCATCATAACTTACTGCAACCTCAAACTCCTGGGCTCAAGCGATCCTCCTGCCTCAGCCTCCCAAGTAGCTGGGACTACAGACTCGTGCCACCATGCCCAGCTAATTTTTCTATTTTTGGTAGAGAGGGGTCTCA